TGTTGTGCTTTCGAACAATAGCCGTAGAGGTTCACAATGTTTCGGTGCTTAATCCCAGTCAATGCCCTTACTTCATTGATGAAGCTTTTGGGATGTGTATTCTGAAATGAAGAATGAAGTCTCTTCACAGCAATATTCCCTAATGATGGAAGGTTTACCTTGTAAACACTTCCGTGACCTCCTCGCCCAATGCAAAATTTTGCATCAAACTCTTCTGTGGCGTTTAAGATGTCCCTGTACAATTCCTTCCCATCTAACATGGATATCGAAAGCCAACCATCACCATCCCTTCTTTCAACTTCTCTAACTCTCCTCCTTTTATTACACATAAAGAGAACACCAATGAAAACACAGAGCAGTACCAGTGCTCCCATAACAGGAAGTACAGTGATGAGGATGAGTTTACGTCCCTTCGCCATTGAGTGCCTCTTCACCACAGAAGACGACATTTCGCAGGGATGGAGTCCTGCTACATTGCCGCAAAGACCTTTATTACCCTCCAATGAGGCATTGATAAAAGCTTTATTATTAGGGATTGGACCTTCCAACTCATTGTATGACAAAACGACATCATGCAAACCAGTTGAACTTTCAAGTTCTTTGGGAATGCATCCAGATAGGCCATTGTGGGAAAGATTTAAGTTTACCAAGACCTTCAAATTGGCTAACTGAGGGGGTATATCTCCAACCAGAAGATTGTAGCTCAAATCAAGTACATTAAGCTGAGTTATCCTTCCTATATCCTTTGGAATATTCTGGCCAAACTTGTTGTTGCTCAGGTTCAACTGAAACAAGTGCACAAAATCTCCTATACACTTCGGGATTGATCCATTCAATCTGTTGGATGATAGATCGAGGGACTCTAACTTTGTCAGTGACCCAAGTTCCTCCGGTATATATCCAGAGATATTGTTGTTCTGCACAGAAAGCTTAACCAGAGAGGTTAATTTTCCAAATTCCTTTGGAATCTGCCCAATCAAATGATTAGATGAAAGATCAAGTCCTAAAAGCCCTTTGACATTTCCAATCTCTGGTGGTATGCAACCACTAATGTTATTTCTGGCTACACGCAAATCAATTAATTTTTTGCATTTTCCCCAGTTACTGCTGAGTTCACCATGAAAATCATTGTCGCTCAAATCAATGAACCGAAGCTCTGGATGGATGCCAAAAGCTTCAGATAAATTCCCAGTAAAGTTGTTGTTATTGAAGCGAACCCTTTTGAAACTCGAGCACTTGCTCAAGCTTCTTGGGATTGGCCCTGTAAGCCTGTTATTATCCACCGTGAAAATCTCAAGTTTCCCACCTTTGCAAAGCCACTCTGGCAAATGGCCTGAAAAGTGATTGTAACTCATTGATAATGAAACCAAGTTATCCAAATATGCAAATTCTTTTGGAATAGAACCTGAAAGTTTGTTGGCATCGAGATTTAGTATCTGCAAGTTTCTCAAATTGCCAAAGGAAACAGGAACAGGACCAGTAAGCTGATTATAGGATAAAACCACCCTATTGAGGTTTTTAAAATTCCCCAACTGACTAGGAATGAGACCAGAAAGTTGGTTAGAATGAAGGTACAAAATTTTGAGCTCAATTAAGTCACCTAAAGTAATTGGAATTGAACCAGTAAGATTATTATGGGATAGTTCCAGATCAGTGAGGTTTTTCAAATTCCCCAACTGACTAGGAATGAGACCAGAAAGTTGGTTAGAATGAAGGTACAAAATTTTGAGCTCAGTTAAGTCACCTAAAGTAAATGGAATTGAACCAGTAAGTTGATTAGTGCATAGTTCCAGATCATTGAGGTTTTTCAAATTCCCCAACTCACTAGGAATGAGACCAGAAAGTTGGTTAGAATGAAGGTACAAAATTTTGAGCTCAGTTAAGTCACCTAAAGTAATTGGAATTGAACCAGTAAGTTGATTATTGCTTAGTTCCAGATCATTGAGGTTTTTCAAATTTCCCAACTGACTAGGAATGAGACCAGAAAGTTGGTTAGAATAAAGGTACAAAATTTTGAGCTCAGTTAAGTCACCTAAAGTAATTGGAATTGAACCAGTAAGCTTATTATTAGATAAATCTAGGTCATTGATGTTTTTCAGATTCCCCAACTCACTAGAAATGAGACCAGAAAGTTGGTTAGAATAAAGCCACAAAATTTTGAGCTGAGTTAAGCCACCTAGAGTTCTTGGAATTAGACCAGAAAGACTGTTATTCTGTAAGCCTAAAATCTCAAGTGATTTCAGTCTCCCTATTTCAACAGGAATGAAACCATTTAAATGGTTATTAATGATGAAGAGGTTCTCAACCTTTGACAGTGAGCCAATCTGTGATGGGATTTTGCCTGAAAACTGATTAGACGACAAGTCAAGATAGACAAGATTAGTGAGGTTTCCTATTTCAGGGGGTATAATACCAGAGAGCTGGTTCATGCTAAGATCAACATATTCAAGAAATGGTAGAGATGAAAATGGAAAATCATGGAGTGTACCAATGACACCAGCATTAGTAATATTCAACCTGTTTATCTGACCATTAAAACATATAACTCCATACCAATCCGTGCATGCACCAACACTTAGTGTCCATGAAGCCAATAAGGAATTATTCTGGTTTTGAAAAGTTGCTTTCCATTTGAGGAGAGCAGTTGCTTCCTCAGTGGAAGCAAAAGTAACAGTGAAGAGAGTGAAAAGCTGAAGGAAACAAAATATTTTGGGAACCATCTTGAAAGCTAAAAGATTTCAGTTGTTTGTTTTGGCTATTGATGAGTATAGTTTTATATTGTAGTGAACCACTTTAAGTCTTGCTGAGTCAATGGCATTTATTTCTGAGCTTGTAAAACACGGACAGAATTAGAACGACTTGGGAGTCAATTATGTGTCACTGTTCATGTAAGTATATACCAATGAATTCAATAATCCAAAATATATTCAAAGGTCATTTCGTAATTGACGAGCTAGTGGTAGTTGTGGAAATATATTGGGAGATCTTCTCCAAAATATATTCAAAGGTCATTTCGTAATTGACGAGCTAGTGGACATGCAATAGGAAGAAATTGCCCAACTTGCCTTTCAAATAGGCTGATCTTTAAGTATTATTCTTCAATAATCGAACTTATGCTTAATGGACATAAGTTCTTGTTATGTCATGCAGTGGGAGCTCCGCCAAAGTTATTTCCTCTCTCTTTTGCAATCACAAATACACATATTAGCTTTGAAACTAAAACATTGATACACATTATATCACCTCTAAAACAAATACACACATACAGTTCGTTTCAGTTTAATTTTTTGTGATACGCAAAATTTATTAGTTATGAGATGAAAAAATTAAAGACCAGCACAATATTGTATCATTTTTGCGGGTCAGGTAGCGCAGAATTTGCAAATTTTTATTAAGAAATTTTCATAAATAACTAGAGTTTAAATACAATTATGAATAGTAGCTATAATTTGCATGATTATAATTGCTGTCTCAATTGGATTTATTTCTCAGCTTGTTAAATACGGGTAGACCTAGAATGACTTGTAAGTCAATGAGTCAATGTTCATGTAAGTAGGTGCCAACGAATTAAAAGGGTATCTCAATTGTGGGCCTAAGCCTTAAAGATGTTGAAATATATTGTGAGATTTTCTCCAAAAAAATATAGATATATATAAGTCATTTCGTAAAAGGGTATACACATATTTTATTAATATACATACATAATATATTATTTTTATAAAAATTCGATTTGATTTGGTTTGGTTATTTGGTTTAATTCGAATAGTGCACACCCCTATGAAACACTAATAGTCTCTCATGTTTGCAATATTGATTCACTTTTGGTCCTTCCTCATTTTTTGTCTATCTTAATTTTTACATTGATTTTATCTATAATTTATATATGAGATGTTTAATCGTCTTTTTATATATTTAGTAGAAATAATAATTCTATGTGAGAGAAGGTAAGAAGAAGAATACAGTAAAACCTTTCTAAATTAATATAGGTAGGACCATGAAATATTATTATTTTGTAGAGTTATTATTTAATTGATAAACTAATATTTATTAATTTAAAGAGTGTTTCAACACCCAAAAAATTGTCCAGGAATGAAATCTCAAAGAATTTGAAAGAACCCACTTATGAAAACGTCATTCATGAACTTGAGGTCATGATTAATGATCTCAGTTACCGCAATAAAATGAACGTTAATAACCTATTAGATGGGTGAAAATGATACATGTTCAGAGGTCTAGAGCTTAGAACAAGTTGTGGATATCATTGGAAAAACAATGTTGATGATAAAGTTGAATATGATACAATACATTTGGGACCAGTTATGCGTAAGGAAGCACTTGTATATAGAACTCTTCACAATTTTATGGTGTAGTTCAAAAAGACCGCACTGAAACTTTTGGATGCAATAAGAAACGAAAAGTTAGAAATGGGTTTTAACTAGATTTAAATTTTAACAAAAACAAAACATAATAGAATCATATTTCACTAAATTTTCTTAGATATATTTGTACTTTTAAAGAATAATTAATTTATACTATTAATGGGACCATATATTTATATAGGGGTCTTCTGAAAATATATTATCTTATCGAAATGAGTGATTTTTTCGATTGGCCCAAGTCGAGACCGGAGGAAATTATTATCTTAGAGAGATTATTAATTAACTGAGTATTAATTTAGTGAGGTTTTACTGTACCTTGTTTTGTTTAGTAGAAATATTATTGCAGCTAAAATCGAGAGGTAAGTTACATCGATTTCACGTGCAATAGTACAATATTTTCCTTTCTTGCAACGTCATATGTCAAGGTATTCTTAGTTTAGCTGCAATAATTTTTTAACTGAACAGAACAAGTTGTTCTTAGTTTAGCTGCAATAAAATTTCAACTTAACAAAACAAGGTGTTCTTCTTCTCACCTTCTTATTATTTCTACTAAATAGATAAAAAGACAATTGAACATTCCATATATAAAAATGTGGACAAAATTAACGTGAAAAAATAGGCAAAAAGTTTGGAGGAGGAGACTATTAATGTTTCATATGAAACTCAAGGATGACTTTGAGTCTTAACCCAAAGATATGGAACTATTTTGACCTTTTCTCTTTTTCCATTAGAATCTTTTTAAATTGAAGATTTCTTAATTTCTTTCAAAAATTAAGTGACGACATTTGAAAGTAATTTTTTCAAAAAAAAAGAGTAAAAATCATTCCTCGGCATAGTAGGTTAGGTGGTAGTTGACGAGAGGGAGTTGCTCGGATGGTAAGCACCACTCACTTCCAACCCGAAGATTGCGAGTTCGAGTCACCAAGGGAGCAAAAGGGGTGGGAGCTCCTAGGGAGGGATTAAAAAAAAAAGGTTAGGTGGTAGCTTAAATAACCCAAGAAAGGATCAAAAATACCCCTCAACTTTAGTTTATTGTTTGACTTTACCCTCGCCGTTAAAATGGAGTTAATTTTACCCTCCCGTTACTAATTTCACCAAAATTACCCCTCATTAGATGAAATCCCCAAAATTGACCCAAATTACCCAAATTTAAAAAAAAATCCTATTCCCTATTTTTAACCCAATGACCCGACCCCTCTAGGATAACCCGGTTAACCCAATTAACTCAATGTCCTGTTACCCATTCCCACAACAACAACCCTTATTCCCACAATTTGCTCCCAATTCGACATGAAAATCACCCAACAATTCAAAATCCATCTCCGATTTCCCATTCCACGATAATTCTCACCTCTTGGCTAAATCGTCGCCGCTTCCGACGCTACTTTTGTCTCTTTTTCTGCTCTCCTTTTCTTCTTCCTTTGTTTTGTGCTACTTGCCCTATCATTTGTGCTGCTGAAATCTGCTACCGTCTGTGCTATCGTCGTGGAAATCGGAGGAGAGATTCGACGGTGGAGGTGGTGATGGGTGGGGACGGTGTGAGGGAGCGGAAGGTAGTATAGATGGAAGTCAAGAGACAATGTTGTTGCGGAGGGATCTGGGTGATCAACTGCTTCTAGTAATTGAATCTGTGTACAATTGGGGAGATGAAGATGTTGAAGTTGCAGATAGTAGAAGCCTTCTTCTGCAATGATAGAAGAAATCCAGAGGTCTTTGGTTTATCTCTTTTCCCCTATGGTTTTTTTAAGAGATTATCTATTCAATGAGAGAGAATGGGTAATTGGGAATGGGTAACAGGGCATTGGGTTAATTGGGTTAACCGGGTTATCCTAGAGGGGTCGGGTCATTGGGTTAAAAATAGGGAATAGTTTTTTTTTAAATCGGGTAATTTGGGTCAATTTTGGGGATTCCATCTAATGAGGGGTAATTTTGATGAAATTAGTAACGGAAGGGGTAAAATAACTTTCATTTTAACGGCAAGGGTAAAGTCAAACAATAAACCAAAGTTGAGAGATATTTATGACCCTTTTCCCTTTATTTTTTTAAGTGTCAATTGTGGACGACGCTTAAAGTTTGTGGAATCAATTTTCTCCATAATCATTAAGTCAATTTGTGGACCACCCAAGAAGAAAACTTGAATTGATCTTTCTTCCATTAGAACGACTTGGGAGTCAAATGTTTCATTGTCATGGAAGTGAATGACAACGAATTAAAAGTTAAAAGTTTCACGAGGTGTCCTATGAGTTTTTAAAAAAATCATAACGAACATGAAAAAAAAATTAAAAATATTAAATGAATTTGTTAGACTTATTGTCTGGCTTGAGAATCTTTGCTATTCCAAAGTCTGCAACACGAGCTTCATACTCAGAATCAAGCAACACATAACTGCTTGATATGTCTCGATGAACAATCGGTGGTGAACAGTCTTGGTGCATGTAAGATAAAGCAAAAGCAACACCCTTGATGATATTCATCCTTTTAAGCCAATCCAATTTCTTGGACTCAACTTCATTGCTCAAAATACTTGACAAACTCCCTCTCTCAACGTACTCGTATACCAAGAATGAGTGTTGTGCATTCGAACAAAAGCCATACAGTTTCACTATGTTCCGATGCTTAATCCCTGTCAATGCCCTTACCTCATTCATGAAGCTTTTGGGATGCGTAATCTCAAATGAAGAGTGAAGTCTCTTCACAGCTACATTCCTCAAAGGTGGAAGTTTTACCTTGTAAACGCTTCCTTGCCCTCCTTGCCCAATGCAAAATGTTGCATCAAACTTTTGTGTGGCATTTAAGATATCCTTGTACAATGCCTTCCCATCTAACATGGATATCGAATGCCAACCATCATCCTGTATTTTAACATCTCTACCTCTTCTTCTTTTATGACACACAAGGAGAGCACCAGCGAAAGCACAGAGAAGTACTAGTGCTCCCATAATGGGAAGTACAGTGATTAGGATGAGTTTACGACCTTTTGCCATTGAGTGCTTCTTCACCGAAGAAGATGGCCTTCTGCAATGCTGAAATCCTGTTACATTTCCACAAAGACCTTTATTACCTTCTAACGAGGCATACATAAAAGCTTTATTGATTGGTATTGGGCCTTCCAACTCATTGTATGACGAGACAACATCCTGCAAACCAGTCAAACTTTCAAATTCTTCAGGAATGTGGCCAGAAAGGCTGTTGTGGGAAAGATTCAAGTTTGACAAGTCCAGCAAACTGGCTAGCTGAACGGGTATTTCTCCATCAAGAAGATTATGGCTCAAATCAAGTACACTAAGATGATTTATCCTCCCTATCTCCTTTGGAATTTTCTGGCCAAACTTGTTGTTGCTCAGGTTCAAGAGAAACATGTTCATGTAATCGCCTACAAATGTTGGGATTTACCCGTTCAATCTATTATTTGACAGATCAAGGGACTCTAACCGTGTCAGTGACCCAAGTTCCTCAGGTATATTGCCAGAAATATGGTTATTTTGCACAAATAATTTAACTAAAGAGGTCAACTTTCCGAATTCCTTAGGAATATGCCCAACCAAATGATTCGATGAAAGATCAAGTCCAAGAAGTCCTTTGAAGTTTCCAATCTCTGGTGGTATACTACCACTAATGTTATTTCTAGCAACCCGCAAATCAGTCAAATTCTTGCATTTCCCCCAGTTACTGCTGAGTTCACCATGAAAATCATTATCCCTCAAATCAATGAACTGAAGATTTGGATAGATGCCAAAAGCTTCAGACAAGTTCCCAGTGAAACTGTTGTTATTAAAGTGAACCCTTTTGAGACTTGAGCATTTACTCACGCTTCTTGGTATTGGTCCTGTCAACTTGTTATTCTTCACCTTGATGATCTCAAGTTTCCTACCTTGGCAAAGCTGTTTTGGCAAATGGCCTGAAAGTTGATTATCACTAATAACCAATGCTTTTAACTTATCCAAATATGAAAGCCCTTTCGGATTGGAACCATAACGTTTGTTGGCATGGAGAAACAAAGTACGCAAGTTTCTCAAATTGCCAAATGAAGCAGGAATAGAACCAGTAAGTTGATTATAATCTAAAACAAGTTCAGCAAGATTTTGTACATTCCCCAACTCTCCTGAAATGGAACCATTTAAATGGTTTTCAAAGATGTAGAGGATCTCAAGTTTTGTTAGTGAGCCGATTTGTGCCTGAAAACTGATTAGCCGATAAGTCAAGATAGACAAGATTAGTGAGGTTTCCTATTGCAGAGGGGATGATACCATAGAGGTGGTTGATGCTAAGATCAACATATTCAAGAAAAGTGAGAGATGAAAATGGAAAATTATAGAGTGTGCCAATGACACTATCATTTGTAATATTCAACCTGTTTACCCTACCATTAAAACATATAATCCCTACATGCCTCAGTACTTTTTGTCCAAGAAGTCAATAAGGAATTATTGTTCTGTTTTAGAAAAGTTGATTTCCATTTGAGGAGAGCAGTTGCTTCCTCAGTTGAAGCAAGAGTAAGAGTGAAAAACTGAAGGAAAAAAAACATTCTGGGACCATCTTGAAAGCTAAAAGATTTCAGTTGTTTGTTTTAGTTATTGATGAATTAGAATGAAAACATGGTTGGTGATTACATTTCAAGCCAATTGACCAAGCTTACAGTTGTTGGAGATTATTGTAGAATTAGTGGGCAAGATATCATCTTCGCAGGCCCAAGAAGAAGAAGAAGTCAAAAGTCTGTGACGTGTGATATAGAGTGACGAAAGTGAAGGCTGTTAAAACCTCACTATCGTATACACCATACAAATTTCTTTCAGCACCAGCGGATGATCATGATGGGAAGAATTTTTCAGGCCTCCTCTGTACACAAAATAGACATTACGAGCACCAGTGACGTAGAATTTTTCAAGAAATGGCCTCCTCTACACACAGAATAGACATTACGAGCACCAATAGTCGAACTCAGGAGCTCCTGCTGCACATGCCATTCTGTTTTATGATTTATTTGAATGGTCAAACACATATACAGCCCCTCTAACTTGTCCACATTTTTCATTTTGGTACTTTAATTTATCTTAGCCTTGTTCCATTTTAATCCTTGAACTCCATTTTTTATGTTCCATTTTAACACGAAATACTATTTTTATGATTTATTTATTTTTATATATATTCTTCAATTGCAACTTCTTATTTTAAATCGACATGTGTCATTTAATTTTAGTTAAAAAATTAAAAATTAACAAAAAATAATTCTTTTTTTTGTTAATACTACCCTTTGTTGACTATAAATAGAGGGGATTCCTCTCATTTTTAAACCACAATTTTTTTAATCTTCTACTCTTCTTCTTCTTGCATTTTAAAAAATTTCATCTGATTTATTGTCGTTGAGTGAGTTCGAAGTTTAGCGGAATATGAGGTACCACTATTCTGATGAAGTAAACAATTTTATCCTAAGAGAATAAATTCCATAATCTCGAGTACTTGAGGAAAATAATATTTGAAGATATATATATTTTTTTGCTTTATATATACAGAAGTATGTAATGTTCCAATTTATAAAGTTAACATGATGTAGTCTAAATTCATTTGTTTTTTTAACAATTTCTCTTGTGATGCAGATATATTCTTTAGTTATATAACATTGTAAATTAACTTAGTTATTACTAATTATTTCAAAGGTTATTCACACTCTTTTACATTCTTTAGTTATAATATTATGAATTCCCATAGTTATTACATGAATTATTTCTATCTTTCATCTTTTCTTATATTAAGTTATTACCAATAATTTTTAATATTACTGCCACTATATATCTAATAACAGGGTGTTGTTATTTTTCTTTGGATGAATCATGATTGGTTGAATAAATTAAAAATCATTTACAAGGATATGGAACTATATCTTTGTTGGGTGTAAGGTAAACCAGGTGATTATACATATGATTTCACAGATAGAATATATTCGATAATTTTAATTGTTAGGTTTTTCAGTAAAAAAAAGGAAACCTTTCTCAGTTAACTATGGACACTGACTAACCTTTTACAGTCACTCGTGAAGTTAAATATGAGAGCCAACAACAAGAACGCCATCTATTATGTTATAACTTATAAAATAAAAATTAATATACAAAAAAAAATGTTCTAAAAAATAAAATGTAGTTGTTCTATTTACATGTTCATATGACATCTAAACAATTTAACATGGAATACACGTGCTTTAGATGACAAGAAAAATATACAACAAATATCGTCTATAAGGTAATATTAGTGAGATATGACTAATTATATGATTGAACCTCTTCAAATTGAAATAATTATATACATTATTGCATTTAACTAATAAAATTTTCATTGACCAGGTTAGCGTGAATAAGATATATATATGACGATCCACATTAAACAATCACAAAAGAATCTACAATAATATTTTGTGCAAAGTTAATTATTCAAATCTCCGCTTAAATAAGCGACTCTATTTACTATAACATATATTTTCTGAATTGATAGTCGCATGCAACGCACGTGTCGAAAAACTAGTATTACTAAAAGTGGGAACCTCTAAAGTGAAAAGTTGAATTACCATTTTACCCCTATGCTAAATTAAAATATATAAATATCTAATTAATCAATGACTATTAAATAGTAATCATATCATATTATACTAAATCTCAAACTATTATTTAATATTTATTATTATTATTGTTATTATTGTTTTCGAAAATACCCATAAATCATTGATAACAAATTTAATATGTTCTTAACCTAATAAAAGCACAGTAAAAAAATTGTAAACAAAAAACCTTTCACTGTGTACATTGAATCTGAAAGTAAAAACTTGCTTCGTATTCCAAAAAATATTTAATACATCTTTCAATTGCTTAGTTGTTACATGTAATTATTTCAATCTTAATGTTCTGTTTCTATCATTTTTCATAGTAATAACCTTTTCACATTCTTTACAACATTCTATAAATTTGCACTAAAAAGAGTATATACATTCAATAAATCACATGGTCTATCAAATCAAGTAAAAGTTTTTCATTAGTTCTATATTCACAGCTTATACCATTCTTAAAAGTTTTCTCATCAGCATGCATCATCACCTATATATTTTCTCCTTTAATTTTAGGTTTCAATTACTGAATTTTGAGTTCAAGCATTATATTATTTCTGATGAAAGCGTCGGGGGCAAAACACGTTATTGTTTTGATAATGGTATGAGTCTTTATTTGGGTAGAGAAACATGTCGGCAGTAACTCACATAAATTTTATATGATATTCTTAGTTATTTTTCGGGTTTATATGATGATAGTTCTTTTAGGATAATGAGTTGTAATATTATGCATGTTTTACATACTTTTCAGTAATATTTCATACAGTTAATTTGACGAAAGTCCCTTTTTATTTTGTATAACTAGTATACGTGCCCGCGCGTTGCGCGGATGATTTAAAATGTAATAATTTTATAATTAAAAATAACTAATAAAATATATAATGCACTTAAATAATATATTTAATTTATTGTAATAACAATATAATAATACAAATCATTAACTTGTGTATTTGAGCAATATTAAATTAATATCATTAGTACACAATTTAATTTATTATATTAAAATATTATTTATATATATATATATATATATAATTTATTCTTTTTATGTAGTTTGAATAAAAAAATTATGTTAATAATTTATCAATTCTAACCTTCCATATGAAATATTTGATATCATAAGACTAAATAACATGTTGAAACATTTTATATATGTTTATTCAAATTTAAAAGATTCAAAATATTATTTATTGTATTAATTTGTGTAAAATATAATATAAAATTAAAAATAATCTTAATTAGTACAATCACTATATTAGATTTAATCAATGTATGTAGATGATATATTAAATTTTAATTTGAATTATATCAGAAAA